CATTAAGTACTTTGGTACTTACAGATAAGATGTAATTTCTGGGATTCATTTTGAAAACAAAATAAGTGGGTGGAGCTGGGGAACAGATGTGGCAGGACTGGCCCTGGGTGTTGAGCCTTTTGGTACCTGGAAAGTTCAGTACTCTTCTGCCTATTTCACTATTCTCCATGAATAAAATTTTGTTTTGTTTTCATAACTTGCTAGTCTGTACTACTCTCCTAAGAACTCATAATATTTAATGGACTTTTACCATTTAAATCATGCTACAAAACCAAATACCCAAATACAAATTTATATATTTTACTATGTTACGACCTATCTTAATAATAGTTACTATGTACTAGGCATTGTTAAAGTAATTTACATAAATAATCTCGTTTATTCTTCACAACAAGTTTATCAGGCAGTTATCTCCAAAAGCTCACAGAAGTTAAGAAACTTGCCTAATATCACAAGATGGAAATAAACACTTTGTTCACTATCAGTTCCTAACAGAAAGAAAATAATCATTCCCACAAGTCAAACACAATGATTGTATCCGTAGTGATGTATTTCATTTCTAATTTATCACTGGCTATCAAATAGACTTGGCCAAAGAGAAGCTTGAAATCCATTCACATTTACCTAGTTAGTATTGGGTGGACTTACAAATTTGAGTAACAATAAAGGAACACCAGCTGACTGTGCCACAAGTTACTATTTACAGCCACAAGGCAGAGGGAGGAAGGCAACAAGTTTAAAGGCAGCAGGTTTGGTGTTAAGGCAGCAAGTTTAGTCCCGCAACATGATTAAGGGCATGTACAATCATGGGAATCAATTCCCAGCATGTTAGGGCACTGAATCCTCTGACAAACGTACAGATTTTAGCAATTATATCAGCTTTCAAAGCTTCATGCAACTGTGTACTTTAATGCAGTGCAGTTCCTCAAAAATGCCAATACTTTCCTTAATGGAATTGGTGCATTCCTGAAAAACACATGCATTTTTACAAATGATTACTACAGGCTTTCACAAAAAAATCGAAGGTATTTTCCCAAATATTTAAATCCCAGGAAATAAACTTTAAGTATGCCTATTTAATAGTAAAGTAATTTTTCAGTTTGTGCAACCTGCTGGCTTTTTAAAAGGGTGTTTCTTTGGTATGAAAGGAAAACAGGAGACATACAAATTTTTGCACTCATTAATGAACAAATGAGGGTACACAGTTCCTAGAATACAAATCTCACTAAATAAGACTATGTTTGCTAAAAACTCTTGGTCAAGGGGACTGGAAAGTCTATAAAAATGTATAGAAACTTCAAATGAATTCACTGTGTCACAAACATAGTAGCAAACGTCTTTATACAATTTCTTCAAAAGTTAGGCAACTCCCTTAGCTTATGTTGAATTATTTGATTTACAAAAATGTACATACAAATTCTCAGGAAACTGAGGTATTAGAAAATTAAGATATAGTCATACAGCAAAGAGGTAGTCATGAAAACCCATTATAAACTAAAAATGAGCTTATTTCTTAGTCTTATAAACACCTTACATTATAAACAAAACTGTAAATATTTCATTATGGCTGCTTCACAGGTTTTAAAGTAGTTGTAGAAAATAAATTTTGGCACTCCACAGTGGTCTTATTCATTTCTAGGTATTTTTCAGATGAAGGTTAAACTAACTTGTGATCAACAGAATATGTTTCGAGCTATTTTTCCCGCAGTGTGAATAGACTGTACCAAGTTGGCCGTACTCTTTGGCCAGGTACTTCCCGTCCCCACTCTTGCCCTCTTCTTGATGAATTACACGTAGCAGATGACCAGCTAGAGTTAAGGGTAACATGCTGTGGCCATGGAACACAGCAACATTAATCCGGTTCTCTCAGAAACAAAAGCACTTGCCTTTGGCCTCATGAGCATGAGTGATCTTGCAGAATGTCAAAAGTGAGTAAAGTATACATAGGATATATCTCCATGCTCCAGTTTCAAGACTGGTAAAAAAGAAAGAAAAGAAATTTAGAGGCAAAATGACTTCCAATTCACCTAAAAGGAAGAACTATTTGGCTGAACTACATAAAACATTTTGAGACTTAAAAAGATGTTTGATCAGAAACCACATTTTGGCACTTAAATATAATCATTTCTTCAACCCAGAGCTCCCATACCGTAAATGAAAGGGCTGCCTTTCTCAGGAGTATCTCCCAAAAGAGGAAGGATGGTTGAATGCTGCATTAATCAAACTGTTGTCAACAGTTCAGCAACACCCTTTTGCTCAGAAGTAATTTTTAATCACAATCCTGTTTTAATTAGGTAGTATGATCTTAAAAATTCTATTAAAAAATGCTTTTCTCAGTTGTCATTACTGCCTAAGTCCTGTCTAAAGCTATAGTGTCCAATACTGTAGCCACTAGCCACAGGCAGCTACTTAAATTTAATTAAAATTTAAAATGTGGTTCCTTAATCATACTAGCTACACTTCAGGTGATCAGCAGCTACATGTAACTTGGCTACCATACTGCGTAGTACAAAAAACAGTCCTAGCATCACAAAAAACACCACTGGACAGCACTGATCTTAAGAAACTGCAGGCCTACTATATACTGAGATGATTTTTTTTTTAACTCATTCTTTAGAAGTTGTTTAAAAAAAGATTATCAATACACCTTTAGATTACAGGTGAATACTGATCTTTGTTCATAGATGTACAACAATGGCATCAACTTTCTGGTCCTTATTTAGACTGAATTTATGAGGCCCAAGTACATGAACTTGGGTATTTTCATGATATGAAACAACAAAGTGAAGATTGCCATACACGATAAAAGTAATTTAGCACTCATATGATTTAAAACAGATCATCTCATCCTTCCCTAATATTTAAAAATCTTGAAATAAGGAAGCATGCATAACTACCATTTAAGGTTTTCACACGAATGTGGTAAAAAGTCCTTCATATTCTGTTTTACTTTGGTGGTGACTTAGTATGGAGAAAATAAACATTAATGTATAAATAGTAAATTAAAAACTGTCTTAGGAATAAATTGCAATGAAACAACAACTTAAAAAAAACAACTTTTGGTTTCATGCTGTGATTTGTATCCGTATCTAATGTATGAGGTAACTTTGCATACTTCCAGGGAAATCAAGTTCATGTTAATATCTTCACATTTACTTTTGTCAGAACACAAAGAGAGACAAAATTATATACTATTTCTTCTTCCAAGTAAGTCTTGGATGGGAAGCAGGGAATGGGGACTCAAGCAGGTTGCTTTTTTCCCCCCCTTAGTAGGTAAAAGGAAAAACAACCCAGTCATAATTGCACACAGCTGTATCTAAAAGAAAAATGCAAACACAACTTAACCATACTTTATTTGACTGCATCTTATTTAGACAGCTTGCACAATTCAAATCCCATTAAATCTCTCTCCCCAAAAGGATATGGGACAACAGAAGAAAATTATGCAGCAATATCCAGTCACCAAACAGCAGTCCAGTATTTTGAAATACACGTGATATTTTATAGATACTCAACTCATATCTGACGTCAATATGATTTATGGTTATGTTTTCACAAACCTGAAAGCCCTGTAACATTATAGCACTCAATTTTAGTGATGTCATGGTGCACTGAAAGTAATTCTGATATACTACCAATCTGATTTTATCTATGCTCCTGGAAAGTGATGAACTTCATGATTTTTAGACACCATAATAAATATACACATCCAGTCTTATACATGTCAGCCAATACCAGAACACAGGGCAAGGTAAAGTTAAAACATGTGACAAACAAACTCTTTTACATAGATTTGTCAAGCAAGTGGAGAGGGTAATTTGGGGAAAAGTGGCAGAAAATATTAAAACCAATTTTTTAATAGTAACTTTTTTGTTTGTTTGTTATTTTGCTGGCTTCAAATTAAAAAACTGTCAGGTTTCTAATCTGTGGACTTCGAAAGTTTCATCCTAATGTAAGGGAAATGGTAATCAATCAGCCCACACATCAAAAATGGTAGTATACCCGTTAGCTTCTTCAATACTAACATATATAGCTTCATGGTAGCCTGTATAAAAATGTTCAGCAGTAGCAACTGCCAAACCAGTGTCAGTGGATATTACAGTCAGTCTTAAAGAGGCAGCACCCCATTAAAAGAAAGTTGCACCAATTTTGCTCAGTTTTAGCTAAGTGAACCCACTCTATCAATTATAAATGTAATTGTTTTAAGGTTATAAAACAAAAACCCAAGATCAAAAAGTAAATTAATGTTGGATGCTATTTCAACTGGAATGGAAATTTCATTTTGGTGCTGGGTTATCATTCTAGAGGTTAAAATTTTAGTCTACTTAAGTAAACAATTTTTGCATACTCAAAGACATAAGGTGCACACTGATATTTAACACCAGTTGAACAATATGGCAACCATTTGACTTTTCAGTCACGTTGTTGCCTGCCATCGAGTCAGTTTCGACTCATAGTCACATAGTTAAGGTCATATACACAAAACGCCCAATAAATCAGCTCAGTCAACAATGCAACACTTGGTCAATTCTAGGGGAAAAAGTCAATAGAGATGGTTTCATTGACAACCTGTCAAGAACACAATGGTTGAACTGAAAATCTAGAATGTATCTACTTTAGAATTGCCGCCATTAGTGAGTCAAGCACATTGTATGTTCATCAGCAATCATTACCTCTGAACCAGCAAGTTAAATATGTGATGAAATAAAATTTGATGATGTAAGTAAATTTTTTTAGTTCAGTTCTCTCCATCTTAACAGTAATAACAGAAGCACACTATGACCTGAATTCTTCTAAATGCTAGAGCTCAAATGAAGTTTGACTGAAAACATTCTCAAAATGCTCACCTAAAACCTAAGAGTACTGTGTAGTCATCGTATTTTTAATGTAACCAGTTTTCTGCCCAATAAACTTTCATGAGCAATACAAAATGGAAAGGAAAAATATTTCTAAAAAACTGCTGGTGGGATCATTTTTAGTTCCTTATTTTTAATCTTCATCAAATATAAAGTGTGTATTTTTAGTTTAAAAATACTTGTTACCATGTTCACTTTCAGGACATTACACTGAGCAAGGAGCAGCTTTCCTTTTAAAAATAACAACAAACTTTCCTGAAAGGGGGCCTTTACCAACTGTTAATGGAGGTAGGGTTTTAAAAAAATACAGTACTTAGCCATAAAACAAAACAAAGTCCAAACCAAATCCTAGAAGTAAGGCATATCCAAATTTAAAAAACAGCAACAACACAGATTTGTACAAAACATTTTTCACAGAGAATGAATCTTTTTTGATGGGTACCTAGGCTTTCCAGTTAAATAAATAATCCAACACAGGTTTACTTGACTCCACTGAAAGCAATTAATTTTAAATTTTTTTACATTGTACTGACTTTTAAATTAACCAAAACACAATGCTACTAATGAACATGGTGATGGATGTCAAGAAAACCCACAGAACTCACTCCACAAAAGATTTCTACCTCTCCCTTTTGTTTTTCTGTGGGGGGAAAAGCAATACTCCCCAAGAATTAGCTTGTGTAAGTGAAAAGAAAATAAAAGCAGCTAAAAATGGATATAATACACCTTGAAATTTATTTCTAAGACCAAGAATCAAAAGTGAAGCATTTCAAGAAAAGGAAGCAATATGAATCCAAATCAAATGGGGAATAAAAGTTCCAAATGCTTTGTAAAAAGTTGTCCTTCACAGCTTAGCAATCATTTTGATTAAATAAAATCATACCAATTTACATTAATTTTCTATTCTTTCCAAAATTCTCTCTCAAAAGAAAAAAAAAAAAAAAAAGTGCATCCAAAACCCAGCAACTCCTGGCTCCATCAAATTTTCTCATCACCTTTAAGCCATTTCTCTAAGAATTACTAAGTAAATTCAACTTCTTACTGTAAAGGAAGAAGGGACTTCTAAAGTAAACCACTCTCTCTGAAAAACATATCCAAATTATAAAAATCTGAAATAATTTATTATCAAATTTAGAATTTAAATAAAAATAAAAGTTTGCTTGCAAAGACCTTAAAGGAAAGGAAAAGATAGCATGCATGCGAAAACTAGAGATGAAGACATATTCTTACCGACACAGGCACTGGCAGACACAATTTAATGATCTGTACTCACTGTAAGACACACTCGATCCTACATTTTTTTTCATTCACTAATCACTGAGGTACCAATATTCAAGGATGGAAAATTTAATATTGAAAAAATAAAACCTAAAATTGAAGATTTCCCCTCATCCCTCCCAAAAAATTATGGCAGGTTTCATGTGAAATGTTACTAAGAGATTTGTACAATCTACATTGGCTTTCTTCTGGAACAGAAATCTTGTTCCACTTACTGGTTCTGTGATAAAATAATCACTGTGTAAATAACATTGTCAGCAGATTTTGCAAATGAACAAACAAATCTTGGCTATCAACTGGCACATCTTGTTGGTACCAAAAGAACTCTTGAAGTTTGAAACAATCTCTTTTAATTCAGAACAAATGTGCCATGCCAAAGTGCAACAAATATTGTGCGACACTCAATGAGACACTGACAGATAAGAGCTGCATGGAGATCACTAAATCCACCTGCAAAGCAATTCGGTACAAATTGCATTGCATGCAAAGGCCGATGCTGCGTGGTTGGACAGTTGTTCCTTGATGTCAGTTTTCTCAACGCAGCCACAGTTTAAGTCGCAGTGCATCAACTCCATTTAAATAGTATCTGAACAGCCTCTTATCTCGAACAAAACCAAGATTTTCATAAAGTTTCAAAGCAGATTTATTTGTTATTTCTGTTTCCAAAACAACCTTCAAAGAAATGAGAGAAAACTAAGTTATAATTTTATATATTTAAAACTAAGTTATAATTCCATAATTTGAAAAATTTTTACAAAGCAAACAATCAGATCAAATATTCAAGAAAGTCACACCACATTGTTTTAAAATTAATGGTGAAATAACAAGTATTAATGATGTACAAAAAGACCTGAAAGACTGGTCATCAAAACTGTAATAGTGATTATCTCTAGGGGAAGAGGGGTGGAATCACTGCTTTACTGATGTCTGTGCTATCTAGAATTTTTAGTGATGACAAAATATCAGTTTTATATTGAAACAAATATGAATTATTTCTTTCTGGAAAAAAGAGTGATAAGAAGATGAACAAGAAAAATCAATGAAAGTTTTAATAAACCAATACTTGAATACTATCACAACTGATCCCCAACTCCTGTATTTTCATTACTTTATCATCATTTATCCTAAAAACAACTGCAGTACTTGTCAAGAATGTAGACAGGAAGTCTGCAAACTTCAGCCCTTGAACTAAGCACTGCCTGTTTCAGTAAAGTTTTATTGGCACATGGCCACACCCACTCATTTACCAGTTTTCTCTGTCTGCTGTCTCTACACAAGAGGAGGGCTGACTAGTAGCCACAGAGACCTAGTCACAAAGTGTGAAATATTTACCACCTGGCCCTTGTTGAGAAAATCTGCCAAACCCTGGTCCAGAGCAGGAGTTCTAAAATTTTAAGTGTGCAGCATAATCACCTGGAAAGTCTGTTAAAAATAGATTGCTGACATCATGCTAAGTGAAATAAGTCAATCATAAACGGACAGGGTTTGACCCCAATTATATAAAAAGACAAGAAAAGGCAAATACATAGAGACCAAAGTTTACTAGTTGTTATCAGGGGTGAGAGGGAAGGGGAAAAGGGGGGTGAACAATGATGGAAAATCTCATTGATTAAGGGTAGGGTTGCATAGCTGAATACTATAATTGCTGTCAATAAGCTGTACACCTATAAAACGTTGAATTGGCAAAAGTTCTATGCTATATTTACACACACAAAAAACAAACTCACTGCCATCGAGTCGATTTCAACTCACAGCAACCCCTCCTTGGGTTTCTGAGGCAGTATCACTACGGAAGTAGACTGCCCAACCTTCCTTCTGAGGAGTGGCTAGTGGGTTTGAACCGCCAGCCTTCTTGTTAGCAGTCAAATGCCTTAGGCACTATGAGTGTTAAAACCCTACAAGTGGCCATCCAAGTCACAATTTGTCTACATTCACCTGAACAAGAGAGCAAGGAGAGTCAGGAATAGGAGGGGGCTGTGGAATGTGTGGCTAAATGCTTCCATGAATAACCACGTCCTTTGCCATGAGACCAGAAGAACTGGATGGTAACCAGCTATATGTACTGAACATTTTGATCAAAGATTGAATAGACTACTCCTGATCAAGAGGAAAAACGTAAACAGTATTTCAAATCCTCAAGAACTCTAGAATTTTGGAGCCATGGTGGATGAACTCCTGAAACAACTGTCCTGAGATAATCTTTAAACCATAACCCAAAAATGCACTCTGAAGTCTTCTTAAAACCAAAAAACAGTTTAACTTAACTAATGAACAAGGCCTGCCTTGAGCATCAAGCTCTTTTACAATCTGTCTAAATGGGATCAAATCACAACAGCAACTCCAAAGACAGATAGGAATCCTAAGGGTCAGTGTGTTTATGTTAATAAGGGAGGAACAACTCAGAAAAGGAAGATGAGAATGGTTGCACAACTCAGAGAATATAATCAATGTCACTAAACTGTACAGCTAGAAACTGCCTTTAAAAAAACAATTGCTGAGCCCCATCCCTAAAGTTTCTGGGGAGGGTTAGGATGGCACCCAAAAATTTACTTTTTTTTTTTTTTTTAATACAAATTCTCAGGTGATGCTGCTGCTGCTGGTTGGGGGACCACATTTTGAGAATCACTGGTCCAGACACTATGAATATCAAAACTTAATAGAGGAACAAGTAGTATTAACTTCCATGCTCAGACAATGAAGAATTGGTACTTTAGAACAGTAAGTGTGATCTTCTTAATTTCTACATTCCTCTACAAAAACACCCTTCTGCTCCCTTCTCCCAACTTTTATACACATAGCTTTCTTTACTTGCAGTTTTTATTGATCCTCAACTTACTCCATTGAGAATTACCATCAGACTAAGCTACTGTTACGGTTGGGGTATTATAACCCTCAGGTGTTTGGAAGGGGGAAGGTAATGCAAAGAACAATTTAAAAAAGGCCCAAGTGAAACATATGAATCTCTTCCTGTTCTATCTCAAGCTACCAAAAAATTAGAGAAGAATTCAAGCAATAGATATCATATCCAAAATTTGAGCTCCTAATCTGCTCCTTTTCCACAATTCTCTATCTCAGTAAAAAGGATGACCATCCTACCAAGTGCTCAAACCTAAAACCCAGGAGTCATCCTTGAACTTATTTCCTCCTCACCCCTCTACATATGTACATTCAAACCAAACAAAACTAAACTCACTGCCATTGAGACGATTCTGACTCAGAGTGACCCCCACTGGGTTTCCAAGGTGGTAAATCTTTATGGAAGTAGATTGCCCCATCTTCCTTCCGCAGAGCGGCTGGTGGGTTTGAACCACCAACCTTCTGGCTAGCAGACAAATGCCTTAGGAACTGTGCCACCAGAGTTCCTTTGCATGCATTCAAGCACTGAATAATGTCAATTCTATATTGTAAATAATTCTCAAACTGGTCCTCTTCTTTCTATTCTATTGACACCACCTAGTTTAAGCTGCCATCAACTCTTAATTACAAGAGCCTCTTGACTTGTCTCCCATTATTAAGTAGTTGGGATGATACCTCTTGTCAGTTCTCTGGTTAAAACTATTTACTGACTCCCTTTTGGTCTCAAGATAACGTTTACAATCTAATGATAACCTAGAGACTTAAAAGGCCCTTCAAGACATGGCCTCTACCTACATGTCCAGCTTTGCTTCAGGTTATCACTCCTTTTGCTCTCTATAGTCAATACAAACTGTGTTTCTGGAACTCAACATGATCAAAAATTTTCTACCTCAGACCTTTCCTCTCAGCTATTTCCACGGCCTGGAGGAATGAGCTTCCTATCCTCCTCCCTTCTGGCCTTAGCTTGTCACTCCAGATGGGGTAGAGCATCCCTACCTCTTATATTACCCTTATGCTGATCCTAGGAAACACTCTTATTTCCACACTTGATAAGAATGTCTCCTCTCCTAGCTGGTGATGCCAAGGAAGACAAGGGCCATGCATATCTCCTCTGTAGCTGTTTCCTCTGTACCCAGCACACTGCCTGATAGATATTTGTTAATTATATATCCTTAACCCCTTTTATGACATGTTGTTGTTGTTGTTGTTGTGTGCCGTCGAGCCGGCCCTGACTCATAGCGACCCCTCCTTGGGTTTCCGAGGCAGTATCACTACGGAAGTAGGATTGCCCAACCTTCCTTCCGAGGAGTTGCTGGTGGCTCTGAACCGCCAGCCTTCTGGTTAGCAGTCAAGTGCTTTAGCCACTATGCTACATAAATATTAAACAAAAAAAGTATTGCCCTGCTTAATGACCAGAGTACTTTATTAAATAGAGTGTTTTATAGCTGTATCGCTGATCAGCTGATTAAAGGAATGAAGGAGATGGAAGGCTTCACAGATGTGGATTATAATATGTATTCTCCTCGAACACAATCATTAGAAAAGTGGTAGATTGCACCCTGTCAAAGGCAGAAAATTTGTGAGAACCAGAAAAACAAGGCAGTCCCACTGAGTTACAACTCACAGGTTTCACTTTATTTTCTACTAAAATGAGCAATAGAAAAGTGGTAAGACTGCACCTTGTCAAAGGCAGAAAACTTGCAAGACCCAGAAAAACAAGGCAGTCCTCACAAGTTTTGGCTGTCAAAAGATTTGAAGGTATCCTATACATAAAATGAAAGAAAGTGTAACTCTGGAGAAACTAGAAACTCTGGGAGTGGGACTCAGCAACTTTAACAAACCCTTATTTCCACACTTGATAAGAATGTCTCCTCCTCTCCTAGCTGGTGATGCCAAGGAAGACAGGGGCCATGCATATCTCCTCTTAGAGTGATTATGGAGCACTCTAAATTTGAGGACTCCAGGTCCAGATCAGAGTTTGGGAAACTTTCTCTATAAAGCAGAAAGCATCATCTTGAGGCAATTAGCTACACAAATAACTCATAAAAGGAAATCAAACCTTCAAAATATCTAAAACAAGTAATCGTTCAGAATCCATGGAAAGTTTCTAGGAAGAACTTAATTGGTTTAAGATAAGAATTAGAAATTAACATTTTAATTTCTCTCTTCTCATAGAAAAACAATTCAGTTTTTAGTATTGCATGACATCCTCCAATCTAGAACACAAGCTCTGGTCAACATAAGTTTTCAATTTTGAATACTACTCTTGGTAATTCCTGGAATTCTTTTATTAGGTCAACACATAATTACAACTAAAATTTTCAATCTAAGCAACTAACATAGGAAGCACTAAAGGTGTAACAACTCAAAACTTGGAACTGATTTCACAAATAAAAATGAGACAATTTTGAAATAGCTAATACTTACTGAAGACTTATTATGTGCTGTGTATAAAGCATTTTACGTGCATTCTTGCAATTTCACAATAACCTTATGAAAGAGATATTACCCCCATTTCACAGAAGAAGGAAACCAAATCCACCAATAAAGCAGCAAATGTGAGCTACAGTTTAATGGTAACCACTCTCCCAGACCTCCCTGATTGCTTCCCAGTAAAACAAAGCTGAAACATCTAACTTACAATGAAGGGGATCTAAGCCTACTCTCATTAAAATTTAGTAATCTAAGAAACTTAATACACATCTGCGGCTAAACCAAAACCAATTACTGTTGAGTCAATTCTGACTCATGGTAACCCACGTATGTAAGAGTAGAACTTGCTCCATAGGGTTTTCAACATCTGAGTTCTGGGACGGGGACTCCAGGCCCTTCTTCCGAAGTGCCTCTGGATGGACTCAGACTTCCAACCTTTTGATCAGTAGTCAAGCACATTAATCACCTGCACAACCCAGGAACTCCTGAGGCTATCTACAGCTGCATAAACATATACTGTAGGCATGGCTAAAGAGTTGTATTCAGGTTTCTAAGCATATTATTAACAGATTAATGAAATAAAGTTCAATTACGTAAGAAAAAAGTTACACAAAGGGCTAAACTTAGTTAAGATGTAAAGATTCTTGGCACACTCATATTTTCTCAACAAAGAGATCATGAATTTCTTGACACAACAGAAAATGCCGAGAGAAAAGTAACTACTTTTAATACTTTATCACTTAAATTCTTATTAAACAAATTAAGAGAGAATCTGGGCTTATACTGGAAACTCATTACAAAGCTACTTTTTTTGGTCTACATCATGAGAATATATAGGAAACCAAAGGATAATGAAGTCATTTTAGTCCTAAATTCGACTTAACAGGTAAAATACATTATAGTTTATTTCTACTGATTCCCTTAGAAGCAAATGGTTATCAGTATAAGTAAGATATGACAGTTTAGAAATAATTTTTAATACTGTAGGCTGGAAACACTTGGAGGGCTGGTTTGTTCACTGCTAAAACCTAAGCACTAGCACAATGGCTGGCACCTAGCAGATACATGCTGAACGAATAACCTTATTGTTATTTACCGCTTTTCACAACATCCCTTTAAGATTGGAATTACCATCACCTTGCATAAAGAGACAGACTACACAAAGTTAAACAATTTGCTTACAGTCACACAATTTATTAAGTGACAGAAAAAGAACTCAAGTTTCTCAAACCCTCAAATTACTCAAAAACCCAAATCCTTACAGTTTAACCCCATTTTACTCTGTTCTTCATCTAGTAGCCTCTATTCTCATAACTTATATTTACAGTAAAACTAAAAATGTTAAACAATTATTAAACACAAAAAGCTATTTAAGTAATTTTTTTAAAAAACAGAAAGTCATTGTTGTACATTATGGGGAGGGTGGATGGGGAGACTGGCTGGATCTTTTTGCCCTTATAGATAACTATAAAACAAAACAAAAACAAACTCAGTGCCGTCAAGTTGGTCCCGACTCACAGCAACCCCTCCTTGTGTTTCTAAGGCAGTATCTCTACTGAAGTAGATTGCCCAGTCTTCCTTCCAAGCAGTGGCTGGTGGGTTTGAATTGCCAGCCTTCTGGTTACCAGTCAAATGCCTTAGAAACTACCCCACCAGAGCTCCTGTATTTTAACAAAAAATAACCGGCCTCCTTGTTTCCTAATAACCTAGTTACTGTGATATAAAATATAGCAGACTACTACGTGTCTAGAATTTACCACACTGCCTTTTGCAGAACCTTTATATTGCTGGAGTGTTAGATCAAATTATGTTGTACAGAAATATTTTTATTTAGATAGAAAATTATACATAGTCTGCAACAGGCCACATTTATAAAAATCAGAAACTATGTATTAAAACTAAAAAAAATTCAAGAAAACACCAAAATGAATGTATTAGAAACAGAGGGTAGGTGGTAGATTTTCTTCTATTTTCAAAGTTCTCTGTACTATTTATTACGGTTTTCCAACAGGAAAAAATTTTAATTAAATAACAGTGAAAATGTATTTTTATGCAAATATTTCGTGCCCACCTTAGACATTGCCTGCCAGCCATAAGTGTTAAGCTAATTTTTTAAATGTTACTGTAAAAAAAAATTAGTATTGCACACTTTCAAAAATACCCAGAGAGCAAGGGAGGCATTGGCAAACAAACATAGAGGGCTCACATTATTTGAGTAAAAATACGATCTATGACATGAGTTCAACTCAAAATGTTTTATAGTCATATCCTGCATACTTAAATTCCATTAGGAAATTATGATTCTGTTGTATTCTCATCATATATGATAGTTAGCTGAGGATATTAACATTATGGTAATCATACCCTAAATAAAATAAATTTCAAAATTTAAATTTTCAAAGATGAAAACCATTTCATCCCATTTGGTTTGGTTTCTACTCCTTCCACTCCACTGTAACTACTGCTCACTTGACGTACTCGCTAGATGTAGTAGCTTTTCCTCATTCCTCATTCTGCTTCTATTTTACCCTACTGAATGCCTCCTCTACTTATTAACATATTTCTCAGTCTTTAAGATCCTTATGTCTTTGAGATCCTTAAGTCTTCTCAGTCTTTAAGATCCACTCAAATACCAACAACTCCTTTAAGTTTTCCCTGATCCTTCAGGACAGATCACTTGTACCTCCTTCTCTGTTTTTCTTGACTTCTTTTTTGTTGTTATTGTTATACTACATCTAGCAAGCACATCAAGTGAGCAGTAGTTACAATGGAGTGGAGGGAGTAGAAATCAAACCAAATGGGATGAAATGGTATATAAGGACGTGGAAGCAAGAAACAGACAACTCTCAAAGATTAGAAAGAAAAAGGGGACAGACAGACATGTTGTCTCTATGGTTTACAGCTTAATCAAAGGGGAACTAAAGGACTTACAAAGAGTAAATAAGAGCTCTGTCCCTTCATACAGCAAATTATTTACCTGAACAATATAAACACTAATAATTTGGAGCTCTGGTAGCATAGTGGCTAGGACACTTGCCTGCTAACCAGACGGCTGGCGGTTCAAACCCACCAGCCACTCCTCGGAAGGAAGGTTGGGCAATC